CAATTCCTGTCGCAACCAACAGATCGTTTGGTTGACCCGAAAAAAAGCAGACCCTGCCCATGTGGGAAAAACGCTGGGCAGAAAAGGGGAAAAAGCACCTTAGGGCTGGAGGGCAAGATGTAACGATGGTGTTAAAAGTGTGCAATTCCGTGTCAAGTTGTAGAGAGATATTGCAGGGCGGGGGGGGAACATAAGGTTCAGTCCTGGGCCCTGAACTGTTCACCGTTTTCATTAATGGATTGGATGAAGAGGTGGAGGGAATGCTTACCACATTTGCAGATGATACAGAATTGGGTGGGGTTGTCAATATTCTAGAAGTTAAAAAGAATTAAAATTAGGCTGATCTGCTTGAGAAACGCATTGAAATGACATTTGGAGTTAGTTCCCCAAATGCACAGGTCTGGGACGGGAGATCCCTGACTTGGTAATTGTGCACGTGAAAAGGATTGTAGAATTGTAGCAGTTCACAAACTGAAGATGGGTTAGCAGTTACTCAAAAGACGATTGCAATTTTAGACTTTGCTGATACAAGTAATTCCAAATCAAGAGAAGGAATCATTCCAAGATATCCTATGTTGTTCAGATCCTACCTTGAGTGTTACAGTATACTCAGTTTAGGGCTCCACACTTTATGGAGGATTCACAGAAGCAATTTGGAGCCAATTCAGGGAAGGGCAGCCCAACTTACTAAGGGTCCAGCTCCCCTTTGCTGGAGATGTTGAGCAAAGGCTGGGGATGCTTTAATCCGGATTCTTCTCCTGAGTGGACAGTTGGAATCAGTGGCCTCAAGATTGTTCCAGCTCCAGGATTTTCGGAGGAGGAGGGTGCCAGGATGTAAGACGCCAATGCAGGAATTCAGCTTTCTTCCCCAAAGAGCAAGTTGCATGCGTTGAAGGGGGAGCTGGAGCCAGACACTTTGGACATTTTAGGGCTTAATGCTTAAGATTCAGTTATCATGTTAGCATTTTTCACACATTGTGTTCAGCTGCTGCTTGTGCAATCCTGGGACACTGAAAACGCCCACCATTGGCTGGGTTCACATAACATGCTAAGCAAACCTGAAACAAATCATAATGTGGCCTAGTAGTACGCTATTTGCTCCTTTGTGTAAAAACAATTATTTTGGTGTTTTCAACTCTGATGGTTTGGCGCAGCAAAGCATCACTTTCTCTGTACTAGCAATCCCTTCAAGGTATTTGTGGGATCCAACCGCAAGATGGCTGTTTGCCCAAGAAACTGTCCCCAAAGAGGGCTGAATAAACAATTAATGGAAGAGCAGTCGCAGAAGGAATTTTATAGCTCAATAACCCTACCTTGAAGGAAGAGGAAACATTATCTTTTAATGGTTTTGATTGCCTTCTTTGGGAGGGTTAACATTTAGGTTAATACTTTTTGTGTTAATTATTTAGTACACAGACTTTCCTTTTTAATATATGTTTTGCCTGGCACGCGTCAGGCACTTCCCTTTTTTAAATGCAGAAACTATACATTGTGCTTTATTGTATTGTAATAAAAACAATTGAATGTTAATAGGAAAATATTCAAAAAAAATTGAACCTCAGAATATTAAAAGCCTTGGTGGGTGAGATCCATACTTTTACATCTACAGGAACTAAATCCACCCCCTTACCTGGAAGTTGCAAGTTGACATAGTAACAGTAAAGATGAATGAAGCCTGTGGAACTGGATGGTAAAAGAGGATGCTGAATCTCAATCCATCCTCTTTGCCTCCTTGATATAGGAAGATGATTTGTTCAAATGGAATTCAGAGACACCAATTGCAGTTGCAGAGAAAACACAGCCTGATTTTGCACCTGTCCTGTTCTCTGAGAGTTTGGAATGAACTTGTGCGCACCCTTCTGCGTCAAGATTCTTTGGGTTTTACCCACCCTTCCACAAGGCCTCTAAAAATGAAAACTTGGCAGCAAAGGGGATGCATTTTGACCTGAGCATTCCTCCTCTGTGAAATAAACCCCTTGGAAACAAAACGCCAGTGTGTTTCTCCTCTGCTGCCTCTTCTATAATCACCATCCCCTTGCCTGTTCTATAAATCCAACTGAACTGCAGAAATGTTGGTACACGCTAATAATTCTTTGAAATAATTAAATTACCTGAAGATTTATAATTGTGTGTCCAATATATAGCACATAATTGGTTTCAAAATGAGATATTCTGTCACTGCTTTAACAACAGCTTTTCCATGCACGTAAGTATCGTGCTTCTACCCATGTCCATTTTTTACTGCTATGCATCTCCAGAGCCCCTGTATGGGGCATAATGAGGAAACCTTGTTTGGGAACTCTTGAATTTCTTTTTTCTTGCTCTGTTGATTGTGCTGCTTTGCAAAAACAGCTCCCGGCCTACCAACTGCCCCCTTCCTATTATTCCCCCGCTTTTGCAGGCCCCCCTCTCAGTTGGGCCCTCTATAAATAGAGGCCTCGTCAAAGGCATGACAAGCCTGCCAGAGGTCGCAAGGGCCACGCCAAGCCTATTCTTAGTGTCTTGGCGCAGGCCTTCATCGTTCCGAGGTGCCACTGTCTCCCTGTTCTTCCCTTAAGCCCCTTCCTCCCAGAAGCCAGCCGAGCCTCTTCCCCTCCGGGGCTCTGGGGCAGCCCCATATTCCAGCCCAAAGACTCCGCTCTGAAAAAAGGACTTTGAGCGGTTCAGCCTGAACAGGGCACAGACTGAGAGCTAACATGCTGGACTGACAAACGGGGCTGTGCCCAAAGCATCGGCCACTGAGATCTTCTCAAGCGCCCCACGAAGGAGCCGTGTGTGTGTGTGTGTGTGTGTGTGTGCCCAAGGCATCCAGCTTTCTTTCAAGGGTGGGGAAACCCAGCCTCGCTCTCTCCGTGCTTGGCCCACGCTCCTCCCTGGCGGAGATCAGCCTAGAGGACCTGCTGCTGCTGAGCCCCCACCACAGGCGAGCCAGGATCGGGCCACTCTCAAAGCAAGTCCTGGGAGCTGCTGACCGGCGGGGCTGCGAAACTGAGCAAGGCAAAGAACAGGCAGCCCTGGGGGGTTCAGAGGCAGAAGCGGCAGAGCCACTGATGAGGAACCCGAGGATTTGGAGGAGGCGTTGAAACTGCAGCAGGCGCACCCCTTCTCTCGGCCTCAGCCCTTCCTGATGTCCCTCAGTTCCAGCCAGATGAAGGGCCCAGGTTGGGGAACAGGACACAGCACAGGGGCACCAGTGGGCATGGAATCAAAGCCTTGTGTATATGTGTTGCACGCACAGCGCACATAAAAGGGGTGGTGTGATGGAATGGACTCATGAAGGCCAGGCTCAGGGAGATAAGCGTGTTCTTAGCCCCCAACAGGAGCGTGGG